GTACCTCTCATTACATTTAAACATTTTCTTTAAGATTTTACTTTTTTTAATGAAAAAATGGAAACAAAGTCTTTGTAAATAGGGAAGGGTGAAGGGGGTGAAGGGACGGCAGGGGTATGGGAGAAAAATAAGAACCAAGACCTGTCATGTAAAGGTACAAGATTCCCATGATAAATGTAACTGTATTGTTTGCTTTAAATGTACCAATAAAGCTAATGGAAAAAAATATTTTACTTTTTTTTTAATTTTAAAAAGGTTATCCGGGATTTAGCTCAGTGGTTCCGCTGCCTGCTTTGTAAGTGTAAGGTCCCAAGTTCAATTCTAGGTACTAAAAAAAAAAAAAATTTGTAAAAGGTTAGTAGACTGTCATATAGCAACTTACCAAGTATTAGGCATCTACACTCAGATCTAGCTAAGGAGAGTTCACATGCAAATTTATGCCAAGTTTGAAGGATTTTACAAGTTTCACAAGGAGAAAGGTTTTGCCAAAACACGGCTACACCCCTCTGAAATACAGCAGGCGCATCATCCTGGGTACAGCTCCTTATTCTGGAAACCAGCAGCCAGGCCCATAAAGACAGCTCACTGCTTGGGTCCAGCAGTGAGAGAAGACAGTGACGGGAGACAGATGGGAGACAGGAGAAGGAGCCCAGCTAGGGAAAGCTGAGCCAGGCATGGTGGAGGGACAGGGATCACCATCAAGGCCCTGCCAGCTCAGGGAGACCAGGCAATGATGCACCATCCACAGAGGGAAGAGCTGACAGCTGTTTCTTCAAGAAGAAAGCAGTTACCTGTAGTTATTCTGGCAGGTAAATGTAATGTTCCTTTCGGTTACAATCGCCTCCAGTTCAGTGAGGGAAGGACTGGAGCATGAGTCACTGGAGAAGAAAGAAGAAATGTTAAAATAACAAGATGTCCCAAACATTTCCTGAGTCTGCTGAGATTCTTCATTAGACGAGGCCCCAGGGTAAGCCCCGATAAAAAGATGGCACAGAAGTCCACTTTTAAGAGCTGCCAGGTGAGCAGGGAGCTCAAGGTGTGGACCAGTCAGATGCCCTGTGGAGATAAACTCAGGAGGTCTCTGGGATGGGCTAAATGTAGAGTGCAGCGCCATCCGTCTCGTGAGCCGCAGTGTTTCTGAGTCTGTCCCACAGGCATTTGGCTGAGTGGGGACTCTCAAGGGCTGACTCCTAAAACAATTCCTGGGTCAGGAGGAGTAAGACTGACCTAGAATTTCCTCCGATGTCATGCATCACCCAGGCCTGGAACGTGTGAACCTTCCTTGGATCCAAATTGAAGAGTTCCATGTTTCCAAAAATGCTACAATAGAAGAGACAATGAGTATTGTCAACCCCAAACTTTAGTTCGGGGGCAACGGTGCCTCCTGTCAAAAGCCAGCGGGCTGGACACCATTGGTTAGAGCCACCCTTTGGAACTGACCGTCACCTTTTCCCTTTCAACGCAACCATGAATTAACAAAGATTTTCAAGATAAGAGTTCTAACCTGCACATTGCTATTGAGTTTTTAAAATACTTGCTATTTGTGGTGGTTAATCTTGATCTTCAACCTGACCTGCTGCAGAGATGCCTCTAAGATCAGCGAAGCACACTTCCGGGTGTATATGGGTGCACATGGGGACACAAGCTCGGGAATGTATCGGATTCTTCTTCTGCTTTCTCTCCCCCGCCCCCGACTGCCATGGGTTGAGCTGCTTTCCTGGGCCACATCCTCCCACCATGATTTCTCTGCCTTGTAGCCAGACCACCATATGGAAGGAAACCTTTGGAGTGACGAGCTAATCTAAACCTCTTTTTCCTTTGTTTTTCTCAGGTATTTGGTCACAGCAACGAAAAGCTGACTAATATACTCAGAGTGACTCGCAGACCAATATACGAAGATCACCAGCAAGGCAGTTAGAACCAGAAAGTCTAGCCCACCACCGCTTGCTGAACTAGTCTGTGCCTAAACTGCACCCCGGTGATTCCTGTGCTCAGCAAAGTCTGAGAAGCCCGGGTTCTGCCCTGACCTCATTTCTAAACTCTCCCCCTAGTCTCCCACAGCTGTCGCTCCTGTCACAAGTTCTTAGATCCCTAACATGAGATTATAAAATTCTAGAATGCTGACACTTTCACCCAAAAGCCCACAGAAGAATGTCAGAAGGAGGCCAAGGGCAAATGTTCCTTGTGAATTGAATATTAAAATCACAAAGGAGAGAGTGCCCAGGACAAATAAATATATGTTCCCATCTCTCAGCCAAAAAGCCCCATGAGGGGGAAAAAAAAAGAAGAAAAGGTAAATGGCATTCAATGTGATAAAAACTATAAATATAGGAGGTTGGAGGCAGAAGGCAAGAGTGGCTGGTTCCATGGCAAGGGAGGATTAAATGAGAGAACAATACTCATTGAGTTGTGTCCTTGTTAGGCAGAGCTTTGCACTTTTCATTAACTTTACCTCAGTGAATCTGTGTATCACCGTGTATCAGCCTCTTCAGGTTCATATAGTGGGATTCACAGAGGTTGGTGCCTGTCTAAGGCAGCACAAATTAAATATGGATGTCTGGAGTCCTCCTCTTTTTTCAGTGCTGAGGGTTGGACCTAGAGCCTTCACACTGAACTACATCCTCAGCCCTTTTCTTTTCTTTCTTTGTTTTGAGACAGGTTCTCACTCAGTCACTAAGTAGCCCAGGCTGGGCTCCAACTTACAATCCTCCTGCCTTAGCCTCCCAAGGAGCTAAGATTCCAGGCCTTGCTGACAATGCCTAAAAAGAGACGAGGAAGGTCAAGAGCTTCGCACAGTTTCTGATGTTCCCAATGGTACTTTCACTGCTGAGTTGGGTTACGGACTCTTCTTGGAGGATAGAAGAGCCAGGACAATCATTCATGGATGGTGAGGATTGGGGGCACCTTAGGAGAACAGTATGAACACAGGTGGAGAATGGAAATATTGTTGAAATGATAGAGAAAGATGAGAAAATTATACTAGATGTGAAGTCGTGATCGTTGACTGCAGTATGTCAACCTGACCTGAGCAGGAACCACCTAGCAGATCAGTAAAGCCTGAGGTGTGTCTGTGAGTGGCAGACAGCAGACCACAAACTGAGGAGGGGAGGCTCACCCAGATGAGGGCGGCACCAACCATAGGCTTATAGCCTGGATGGAACAAAAAAAGGTCGGGGGAGAAGAAGAAAGTCTCCCCTTTTTCTGCAGAGGAGCTCCAATATTTGCCATTGCCTCTGGACATTGTTTCCTTCAGGCTTTTAGCCCACTCTCTTCAGCCTTCCAACACAGACCTTTTGGCTTCCAACTCAGACTCGCACCAGGAGCGCTACAGTGAGCTTCCAGGCCTTCACTGGATCCTCTGGCTCTCAGCACACAGGCGGCCATTTTGGATTCTTCCGCCTCTGATTCCAGATGGCTGCTGGAACTCTTCACCTCCTGATCCTGCCAGCCTATCAGTAAGTCCTTGTCTAATTCGATGTGTGTTTTTATATTGACTGTGTTCCTCTATGAACCCTAATTAATTCAGAAGTCAACAGCAATGCCTTAAAACTGTCACAGCCATTAGGAAAATTACAGAATTTTAGATAAAGGAGCAAATAGATAAAAGCATTGACCCAGAATGGCAAATCTTTTCAGAGCATACAACATTTTTTGCCTTTATAGCCCATGTCTTTATTATTGATGAGAAATATGAAAAGTATATGTTCTCGCTAGGGATCAAATCTCCAACAGGAAACTATGATAGCCCTTGCAAATAGGATTCAAAGAAAGAAGTACCTGGATTTACGGAAGGGTTTACTGAGGGATCCGTTGAGCATCACCTGGACCACACCACAGGCAGACTCTGCAAACTTAAAAGAGAAAAAAGCTCACCATCCCCCTGTAAGCGATCTTGGTCACCATTCTCCCACAATTCCATCTCATGTGGCACTTAGTATCAGCTGGTCAAGGAGGAAAGGTGCCCCACGAAGTTAGTAAAGGAATGTCAGGTTTGTAGAGCTTTTGTTCGAAGCTTCCAGAGCAATTATGCTTCGAAAAATCAGAATCATAACTAAAGCAGTTGCTCCAGTCTGTGAGTGTTAGAGCAATGAAGTTCAGTGGCACTGTTCACAGGGTTGCTAAATTCAGTGAAGTCCAGAGGAGGAAGAGGAATCTCTCCAAAGGAAGAAAATGAAAGAGCTCTCCTAGCATCATGCACAGTGGACCCTGAATTTTATTCAGCAGACCCAAGATGGACAATTTAGGGTAAAGGAAAAGGGAACAGGATGGAAAAGGAAACTCGAGAGAGAGAGGTGGTGACCCTGAGGCCTGGAAAGGCACCAAGAGAAGAGGAGACTGAATGAGTAAATGAATGAATAAAATTGAGCAAGGAATTCTATTTCTTCATGCAACAAACAGCTGAAATCTTTGCTAAACACTGGAAGAAACAAAATGAACAAAGCAAAGCAATCTACAACTTCCTCCAAGAGATATACTGGCACTACTGGGCGACCCTAGGCTCCCTACTCTGAATGCTAACAACCCCCCACATCTCTTTCACACTAACTACATGGCACTGTAACGATGAGCTGACGCACTCTGGCCACCAGCAGCTTCATGAGAACCGAGAGCCTGGTTTTGCTGGTTACCTCCACGGCCCTGAGCGGCTGGTCCCTGGTGTATGGCACAGAGAGTGCCCAGGAAAAATCCAAGGAAGGAAAAGAGGGAGGGAAGAGAGTAGGGAAAGAGGAAGCAAGAAGTCAGATAATCTGTGGTAAAGAGCAGGAAAGAACAGGAAAATGTATTGGAAGGTACAAAAGCCACGTCCCAAAGGAAGAACACACTTTCACCAAGTGTAGGCAGCTGTGAATGCGGGCTAAGGAATGAAGAATGCCTCAGTGTCTGGGGGGACCCCCAGCGGATGCTAAGCTTGGGTAGAAAAGTTAGCTCATGGAGAGCCATGGATGCTTCGCCATGGCAAATGTACCTGGGCTTTATTTTGCTGGTGATATCGACGTTTCTGGTGGAATTCAAACCGACCTGTGAAACCCAGTGCTGCTGTACGTTGTCCCCAGGGGGAGGAGCAGAGACGGGGACAGAGGCCCATGGCTATCTAATCCCAGGTGCTGACCCAGGAGAAAGCTCAAAGGATGCCAAGCTTGGACCACACAGACAGGATTCCCAAGGTGTTACCCTCGAGTCCCCGGGACGTGAGTCTAGGTGAGCGGCCCTCAGGATCACACTACTCAGAGATAAGGGGAGGAGCTAGGGATGCCAGGGACAGAGCAGCAGCATCGCTCCGGTCAGAAGAAGAAAGGGGCCGGTCTGACAGAAGTCGGTCGATGCACAGCCTTGAACACCTGACAAAGGTAAAGACCGGAGCACCACGGCAACTGCCTCCATCCAGAAGCCCTGGTGCACATAAAATGCCACTCGGCTTTACAGATGTTTAGCAACAGCACTGCCCTAAAACATCACAGAATGATGACATAGAAATCGAAATTATTCTCAGAAGAAGCAACCACATTTAATCAATGCATTTCTCTAACTTTTCACAGCACTTAGTTGGTCCTCACCAAGTACTTGTGAAACAGATCAATTCTGAGTTACTTATCAGGAGAGTGGTCTGTTACTTCATGTCTTTTTCGAACTCCATTTGACAGCCGAGAAATGTGAAGGTTAAAAGGTTAAGAAATCCGGCCAATTTGAGGGAGACTTGGTTTTATTTGTCATACTGGGAATTAAAAATCAGGGACTTGCACTGACCTATATCCCCAGGCTTTAAAAAAATTATTTTTCTAGGCAGGCATGGTGGATCTACAAGAGTTGCATCAAGAAGTCATGGGCAATGTGGGCATGGTGGCACATGCCTGTAATCCCAGCACTCAGGAGGCTGAGGCAGGATTGCTGTGAGTTTGAGGCCAGCCTGGGCTACACCATCAGTTCCAGGTCTGTCTCAACTACATAATGAGACCCTGTCTCAAAAATAAAACAAAAAAACAAAACCAAAAATTTTCTAAAATAAATAAATCAACTTTTTCCTTCTTAGTTTTTTGTTGGTTTGTGTTTTGGTACCAGAGATTGAACTCAGACCCTTGCGCTTGTGAGGCGGGCAGTGGAACCACTGAGCCAAATCCCCAGCCCTTCTTAGCTTTAGAGAGGGACTTTTTAAGTCCCTCAGTTGCCCAGGCTGGCCTCACACTTGTAACCCTCCTGTCTCAGCCTCCCAGAGTGCTGGGATTGCAAGTTTATATACCATACTCATCTACATCTGCCCAGGTTTCAACTCCCAGCCTGTCTGATTTTCTCACCTTTTCCTAATCCCCTCAAGATAGTTTAGTTTGGTACCAAAAGGGAGTTAAAGAAAATCAAACCTGCCATTTAAAAGACAAAACCAGTCAGTAGATTCAAAAAACAAAATTGAAGAGCACAGCTTTGGAACCTGGCAGAAGGAGGTTTGGCTTTCAGCTCTGCTACTTATTAGTCATTAACTGTGGCTGAGTCATTTGACCTAAGGCTCTTAGTGCCTGCACCTTTAATACAGAGATCTGCTCCTTCTCATGCTGCCTCCCAGGAGGACCAAACTACTGTCAGACCAGAAGTACATCTATGGGCAGCTCATCCATCCGCCTTCCCAGCTGCCCCAGCTCCTAAGTTGGAAGCTAAGGCCCAACGTGGTAGGATTAGTAGGCGGGGTCATTAGGGGATGAACAGACCATCAAGGCTCTACCTGTATGAACAGGGCTGGTGCCCTCGTAAAAGGGCTGAAGGGAACTACCTGCCCAAGCCTTTTTGCCCTCCTGCCTTCCATCATGTGAGAACACAGCAGCAGGGCACCATCTTGGAACAAGAGCAGCCTTCACTCATCATCCAGTCTGCTGGCCCCTGGGCCCTGGGCTTCCCTACCTGCAGGCTGTGAGAACTCTGTGAACTGCCCACTCCCAGGTATTTTATTACAGCAGCACAAATGGACTAACTCATATTCACTTACACACATAATTGTCTACTTCTACCCTCCTCAGGTATCTAAATTTAATGTGAAGGCTTGCAATTAGTATTGTGGGGGCCCAGTCATGGCCCATGGAGTTTGACATTTGGAAAATAACTTCTTCCTGTATAATTAAGGCATCAACATTTGCTACTTTTCAAGGAAACTGTTTGTTGAGCTTGTTTTGATTCTTTGACCCTGACATAACAGGAAACTTGTTAGCCGAAGATCTGATGTTATCTGTAAGAGTCAGGAAATCCGGTCTTTACATAAAGATAAAAACAATTGCTTGGTGTTTTCTGTTGTTGTGTGCCCTTAAAAGCTTCCTGTTGATGTGAACCTATAAAAGGAGCTGTCTCTGTGAAATAAATCAGACTTCTCTTCGTCTCCACTCAGGCTTGAGTGTTCTTTCCTTGCTCAATTCTCACTCCCCGACTCAGGCATGTTCGTGTTGTGACGGCTGGACCACCACATAGTATATTTTTACTTCCACTCTCTTTTTCTATGTTTCTTGTCTTTCTTAATTTTTCTCATTCATTTTGCCTCTAATCCACTTGCAAAGAAGTGTTCCTTTGATCATTTTTAAAGAAGCAACTTACAAGAGAGATAAATATGTACAAGCAGCTTCAAGTGAAAACAGATAAAGGGTGAGGGGGTGGCATTTCTGCTCTGAAATTCTGGTTTTGGATTAGGTCAGCGGGATAAACTTCCAGATCTAGCTGCACACATTTAGCAGATTGCTTATTTCATAAGTGACAAAGCTGTACCTCTATTTTGCTGTCTGTGAAAGGCACAACACCCATGTAGTACTTACTTCATAGCATTCTTGTGGAGACAAAAGTTTCCAATGCACGTAAAGAGCAGAACACATAGTAAATAACCTATAAATGCAGATTAGTACTACTGTTCAGTGAATCCAGTAAATACCTGGATCAGAGGATTGAACTAGCCCTAACTTCCTGGTGGCCACAGCCGAAGTAATAGGTAAGAACCAGGATTCTTCAACTGGAGCCCAGAGCCCTCCCACAGCATTCTGAAACTGTGTGCAAAAAATCTGGCATGTGCTTCCAAACCTTCTTCTCAAGAAAGAATCCTACTGTCTCCTCGCTCCTGAGGTGATCTGTGACCCACTTACTGCATGCTGTCTTTATGTTCCAGGTCTCCAAATTCTAGAACTGTGCTGCTCATTCCTTACCTTCTTGGAAATCACTTTCCAGAACACGGAGCCGGTGTGATTGAGGCATTCATTCCAGTGTGGGCAAGACTGATAGTTCGGTTCTAAAAGACAATAGAAAATAATTAAAGCCCCAAAGAGCCATCAGGGGGCCCTGCTCCTCCCTGACTTTTCAATACAGTGGACTCATCTTCCAACAGCGTCACTGCCAAGACGGAGGCCAGGGAAGGGACACAACTCCGATTTAACTAATGTGCCCCAAACCCCTTCCAAGTCCTTACTCCCCCTCCACATCCCAGGCAGGAGCAAGTGACTGGTCTGGGTCAGCATTCTCAGAAAGAGCAGCAGCTGTTCGCCTGACAAAGACGAGCTCCCACCCTTAACCCTGAGCCCAGGGAGAATCAGGGGTAAAATTGGCAAAAAGTTTCTCTTCTTCTTGACAGCTCTCTCTTGTGCTCAGGGTTTCCTTCCTTGCATCCTTGGGCTCAGATGGCCTCAAGGGTTGTCTACATTCACTGCCACTGAGACAGGCTCCTCAAGGGAGGGGAACACAGTGCATCAAACAGTCCCTGTGCCACTTCTCCCAGGGACATTGTTAAGGCTTAGATCTAGATGTCCCTGCAAAGCCACATGTGCTCGTACGTAGGGCTTTGGGGAAGTGATTGGATCATGGGTGTGACACTGATCAGTGGATTAGTCAGTCCACTGATGAGTTTATAGCTAGATGTGATGTTTAGTCATAAAGGGAACCCTTGGGAGGAGTTGGGTCACTGGGGGCGTGGCCCAGAAGGGTCTACCTCCCTCCTTCCTCCCCTGGATCTGGATCCCTCCCCCATTTCCAGCCACTGTGCCAGAAGCAGTTCTCCTCCACCATGCTGCCTTGACTCAGGGCCAGCCAACTATGGAGGGGAGCCTCTACAGACTGAGCCGAAACAGCATGTCCTCCCTCAAGCACTGGGTGCTGGGCACTGTGTCCCAGCAACGAGGAAAGTGACTAAGGCAAACAGCTACTTCATTGCAAAGGCACTGAGTGACTCGTAATGGGAACAGAGACACGACTTAGCTGAGAGCTCTGCCTTCCAAGTGCACATGATGTAGTGAAATCAGAAAACAAAAGCAAGGGCCCGGGATGTAGCTCAGTGGCACAGCGCCTGCCTGGCAACCATGAGCTCTTGAGTTCTATCCCTAATACCAAAAAACAACAACAACAACAAGATCAGCATGACTTGGGAGTTGTACAGCACCACCATAGAAGGCTGGCGCTCTGCTTTGTTCTGAGGGAAGAACAGGAGTCAAAGCAGTGGCCAGGCCAGCCCAAGGAATGTAGACATTGGTCTACAGGCCAAGGAGAGCTTTGTAGGTTTCAGGAAGGAGGTGCTTACAATCTTCACTTTGGGAATAACACTGAGGTCCTCAGATGGAGGCTGAGCTAAAGGGGAAGGGCGAGCAGTAAGAACACTGAACAGTCCTTGCAAGAAAGCCGAGTGTAGGAGTGTGCTGGATCCAGGCAGCAAGAATGGGACAGAAAAGATAAGTGCCAGGCAAACAGATTAGGTTGGTGAGTGACTGGATAGAAAGGGATAAGAAAAAGGGAAAAACTTACCATAAAAATGGTGGCCACAAGAACAGATAACCATGGTATTAACTTAAGTGTAGTAAGCTATTCACTGAGTATGTGTCTGTGTGTGTGTGTGTGTGCGTGTGTGTATGTATCAATACATCACACAGGACAACTTAAATATTTTTGTTTTCAATTTGAGGCCAATTTTAAAAAGAAAAAAATGACCCAAAATTATGTCCAAGAATTATGTGACATAGAATGAAATAATAAATAAATGAAGGCCAAGGAAGCTGTTTCCTGGCGAAAGAAAGGAAAAGAAAGAGAGAGAGAGAGAGAGAGACAAAAAGGAAGGAACAAAGGAAGGGGAAGAGGGAGAAAGAGACTGAAGAGGGCAGAACCCGAGACCAGCTCACCTCGACTGAACCCTAGCAACTTAGCAAGCAGCACTCTGGGTCCGTTTCCCAGTGTGACTGTATCGAAGTGGAGAATACTTTAAGAAGCATCTGGAATCATGAAGGATCTTCCCTAGTGAATGGATTGGGTTTTGTGCTGTTTGGGTTTGTTCGTTTGTTTGAGATACCGGCTTAGTTCTCTCTAGACCGAATTAGGTCTCGTGGAACTGAACTGCTTCCCACAAGAGTGGGGTTGTTACGAAATGAAGTCGCTTCCTTCCTTCCTCTCTCACCGTGTGACCGAGCTCTTCTACCTGTGCTACTCTGCTACTGCTCTTGCACAAAGTCCCACTGTGACGTGACAGGAGGCCCCGACCAGACACAGTCACTCAATTCTACCTCCAGAACCTTGGCTGGGTACCCTGCGTTGGGTACTTTACAAAATGGACTAAGACAGTCAGTAGGACAGATGTACAGAGAGAAGCCCCTGAGCCCCGACTTGTTCGCCAGGAGTCAGACAGTGTTGCAGTTGCCTCTTTCCTCCCTGGGAATTTGTACAGCCGACCCTAGAGAAATACCACCATTCTCCTTCCCCCCAGGAGTTACATTACTTCTACTTTATGGGTTGAAAACGCCTCCCCACCAGAGGTGTTGAGTCCTAAACATGACACTTGTGAATATGACGTTATTTGGAAACAAAATCTCCATAAACATAACCAAGTTAAGACGAGGCCATGAGGGTTGGTGTCACTCACATCCTCAGAGGCAATGGAAATTCGGCACAGAGAGGGACATTCACAGAGCTTGGGAGCTGCACACGGGAGCATAGAGCCATGTGACGGCAGTGGCATGGGCTGGAGAAAGGCATCTATAAGCCAAGAAGTGCCAAGAGCTGGAGACCCTGTCTCCACAACAAACCAGCAAACAAACAAACACACACATGACTCAGGACCTAATGGCTCCACTGCTGTACTCTACCGTATCTGAAGAACTGAAACCACTCCTAACACTCTTCCAAACATGGAAGAGGAAGAGTATTTCCAAACTCTCTTGTCAAGACCAGCATCATCCTGACAGCACACCGGACAGGAATAAGACAAGAAAAGAAAGTAAAAGCCAATACCTACGATGAACAGAGATGCAGAAGTCCACAACAGTATGGCAGCAAACTGAATTCAGCAACATATTAAAATGATAACCTGTATGATCAAGTGGGACTTATCCCTGGGATGTAAGGCTGGCTCAACCTACAGAAATCGATAAATGTGGCACATCACCTTAACAATCATCTCACTGGATACAGAAAAAGCACTTAAAAAAAAAAGAAAAGAAAAAGCACTTGACACAATCCAACATCCTCTCATGATAAAAATCTCACCAAACTGGATACTGAAGGAATGTATTCAACACCATCAACTCCACAGAGAATCCCAAAGCTAATTCTATACTCGGTGGTGAAAAACCGACAAACCCTCTTCTAAGATCTGGAACAACAGAAGGAGGCCACATCTACTCCACATAGTACTGAAAGACCTAGCCAGAAAAATTAGGCAAAATAAACAAAAAAAGGCATTTAAGTTGGAGAGGAAAAAGTGAAATTGTCACCGACTGCTGACAACATAATTATATATACTGGAAATCCAAAAGATGCCACCAAAAACTATTAGAACTAATTAATAAAGCTAACAGCACACAAAATCAACACTCAAAAATTCGTAGCATTTCTATTCAGTAGAAACTATTTTAAAAAATCAAGAGAACAATTCCATTTAAAATGACTACAAAATAAAATACTTAGTGATGATTTCTTTTTTTTTTTTTGGTACCAGGGATCAAACTCAGGTCCTTGTGCTGAGCTAAATCCCCGGCCCCCTTAGGTGATTTCATGATCAAACTCAGGTCCTTGTGCTGAGCTAAATCCCCGGCTCTCTTAGTGATGATTTCAACCAAGCTAAAACTATATATAAGATATCGATGAAAAGAAAATGAAGACAGAAATAAGTGTAAAGATATCTTGTGCTAATGAATTAAAAGAACTAATGTTGTTAAACTGTACTTATGACCCAGAATGAACTATAAATTCAATGCAGTCCCTATTAAAATTCTAATATCATTTTTATGAAAACAGAATAAATAAATCTAAAGTTCATATGGAAACACAAATGACCCCACATAGCCAAGGAAATTGTGGACAAACAAATAAGCCTGAAGGCATAATACTGATTTCCAACTATACTACAAAGCTGTAGTAACTAAAACAGCTTAGTTTTGTGGAAAAATAGACATGTCAACCAAGAGCACAAAACAGAGAGCCCAGAAATGAACTCAGGCATGTAAAACCAATTGATTTCCAACAAGGGTGCCAAAAATACACAACAGAAAAAAGGCCCTTCAATAAATCCTGTTGGGAAAACTCAATTTCCATATGCAGAAGAATGAAATCAGATTACTTCTCTCTATATATAGATAGATATCTATACATATCTATCTATAGATATACAGATATCTATAGATATCTATCTATAGATATATAGATAATATATAGATATATAGATACAGCTTAAACATTAGATGTGAAATTGTAGAAAAAAAGCACAAGGGAAAAAAACTACAGAAAATTTGGGCAGTGATATTTTGAGTTTGACAAAAGTAGACCAGTTGGATTATATCAAGCTAAAAAGCTTCTGCATAGCAAAGAAACTAATTAACATGTAAAAGGACAATTTATAGATGGAAAGAAAATATTCAGAAACCATGTTTCATGAGGGGCTAATATTCAAAATATATAAAGAACTCAAACAAATTGAATAGCAAAAAACCAAAAACCCAATTAGAATGGGCAAGAGGCCTGAACAGATATTTCTCAAGTCATACAAATAGCCAAATAGATGGATGAAAAGCTGCTCAAATACAAATTAATCACATTGGGATGTTATCTCACATCTGTCCGAATGGCTATCATCAAGGAGATAAACTGCAGCAAAAGTTGGTGAAGATGTGGGGAAAAGGTAAGCCTTGCACACTGCTGGTGGTAATGTAAATTAACAGCCATTGTGGAAAACTAAAAGTTGAATTACCATATGACCCAGCAATCCCGCTTCTGGACATTTGCCCAACAGATCTGCAATCAGTCTGTGAAAGAGACCCCTCCATGCCCATGTTCTTTGTGGTACACTATACACAACAACCAAGACGAGGAATCAAACTCGGGGTCCAGTAAGGGATAAAGATGTAAAGAAGACATATACAAGTACAACAGATTCTATTCCACCTTTAAAAAAAATAAGAAAATTCTGTCATTTGCAACAAATGCGATGGAATTGGAAAGCATTAGGCTATGGGAAATAGGCCCAGTACAGAAGACAGAGTCCACCTATTTTCAATTAGATGTGGAATCTAAAACCACCAAGCTCACAGAAGCAGAGAGTAAAATGGTGGTTAGAGAGGCATGGAAGAGGGACAAAGTGCAGAGGAAGGGTCAAAGAGGAAGTCAGAGGGTGTAAAACCTCACGAGAAAGGAAGAATACAGTTTCTTTTTAAAGATTTATTGCACAGTGAGGTGAATATGTTTAATAGCATATTACATATTTCAAAACTGCTAGGAGCAAATTTAAAATGTTCTCACTACCAAAAAAAATATTTCAGGTGATGGCTATCCTAGCTGCATTAAATATTGTACACTATATTCATAAATCAACTGAGGGATGTGTTTAATTTTAGGAACTGAATAATAGCCAATAAAATAGGGCCAAAAAGGTGAAAATCTATAAAAATTAATGCCAAGGAAGAAAACAGTAGGCAAAATGAAACAACATATACAGGATTCAATATAAAGCAAAAACAAAAGCTCTAAGATGTAAACAAATTTAAAAATAAATTATATCATTTTCTCAGTCTCCGCCTCACTCCAAGAAAAACTATAGTGGTGAATTGAAAAATAAAGTCACAAGTTAATGGTAAACAAACTTAAAAGCTAAAAATATTAAATGAATGACCCACAAAAGTTAAATTGTTCAAAGGAAAAATTTTAAAAGGAAAACAAGAAGCCTGGCAAAAACAGTAAAACTTTATCGAGACAGATTTTGTTCACGTGGTAAGGGAATTAAGATGTGGAGGAAGGGGGAGGGAAAGGGATAGAAAAAATAGACATGTTAGGTGTTTTATTTCCCTTGCCTTAAGATGGCTGTTACATAAATAGCAGCCTCCTCCTTCCCATAATGCTCTGCATTTTGGGCTCTTTTTACCTAACATTATGCACATGCACCAACTCTCTGCGTTTAATGTGACCTGCCTGAGGCCCTCAGAGAAAGTAAAATGCCCAGAGTGTAGACACTCAGAAAAGAGCGAACCAGAGAGCAAGGGTGACCCCAGACTTTGCAGCAGATCAGGGCTCCATCTAAGGCGGCTCTTTCCATCGGCCCCGGTTATCCTTCCAACCACAAATGGAGCCATGGTGACGGCCTGTGGCCCCCCTCCACGCTGGCCCCTCAGGGCGCCTTGCAGAGCTTCTTGGCCCTGTCCCTACGGCGTGGTGGAGCCCTCACCAACAGAGCCGGGGTCTCCACACCACGTGAGGTCGTCAGCGAGGTAGCCCAGCAGCGTGTCCTCCAGCGTGAACATCTTCCCCTGCACCCGGGCATACTGGTGGGCCAGCTCCTTGGACTTGCTCCAGAAGAGACTCTAAGAAAGAACAGACGCATCCCACTGGTGAAGTCTACTCAGCGGGACAAATCAGTCCACATTTTGTAAATGAAGAAAAACAAAAGCTATCAGAGGAAATCGCATAGAAGAGTGAGGCTGCTCAGTATGAAACAGTGAGGAGCCTTGTGTGTGTGCGCACATGCGTGTGCTTGTGAGTGTGCATGTGCGCTGGTGGTCACAGGGTAAAGTGAATTTAGTATTCTGGGTTACAGTCAAGAAACCCTGGAGGCCACTGATCAAAATTTTATAATTAACATGGGATAAAATCACCACTGGCAGAGGCGTTAGGGAGCTAGAATATTCCTGAAGTTATCTGCATAAAGTTTTGCTTATGTGATGCTTCCCGGAAGAAATGCTCTTTGATTCTTTAAAAACTCCAAAATCTCGTCCACTTTCCCCAGATGGTCCCTAATGCCACCAAAAAACAAAACAAAACAAACAAACAAAAAAATACAGTGGGTTGTTTTTCAGGATCTCCCGGAAAGGTTCAGACTGCCCCATGTCAGGATAGCACTGTCTCCGGAATGTATCCACGCTTGGCCGGAAGCAGCCGAGGGCTGGGTCGCAGCACAGGCCGGAAGTCCTGCTCCTGCTCACCACTTAGCAGCTGTCTGACCCTGGGCAACCAGAGCGTCTCTAAGTGTCGCCCTCCCTGCTGTGAGTTGTAGGAAGCTCAACTGCAACAGACTCGGGGACTGTGGGGAGGTTAAATGAGGTCCTACAAATAAGTTGTTCAGCACGGTATCGCTGCGGTTACTATTCGCGCAGAACTTCGTCTGCGCAGGGCTTTGTGTTTGGAGCCCTGACAGCTCCAGCTACTAACGTGGGATTGGATGAGAGGCTGAGATTTGTGAATGGGTTTAAGGGCTTCACAAAAACAGTTCATGGATGCGTCACAACTTGGCCTGTTATAAACAGCAACATAAGAAAAACCGCTCTCCGTGATAGGCCTTTTCCCTTATAATCCGTGTGTTCCCGTGCCTCTCTGTCTCCAAGTCCTGTTTGTTCTCTTTACGCTTCAAACCTGCCTCACGTGGGTGATCACTGCTCTGCTAAATTCAACTCACACTTGTGAGTCTGGAATTGTCCACAAGTGGCTCCCTAGAACATAACCAGAAGTGCTCTGTGTGTGTTTGTGTGGTCTTTGCAAATGCAAATTGACGTTGTTGCTATTTATTTCTTTCTTTGTCGGGGCCAGGGGAAAGTTTTATAGTTACACAAAGGGAAGTTACGTTTGTTTCTCCATGTGGGAGGTGGGGTTTGTGTTAGGTTTGTGTTGCCCGTTTTTGGCCAATTCTTCCTTCTTCCCCCGTCTCCCCTTCCCTCCCATCCCCACACACCCTAAACCCCGATGACATCCTCGCTCCTCAGGGGCCCCGACAGCTCTATCCCTCACCACCCACACGCATACTGCAATACCTGTGTTTTTCCTCTTCTCTCACCCTAATTGAAATTTGTTCCCGTGTCCTCTTCCCATTGGCTTTTAGGCCCAATTTCAGGATCGATAACTTGACCCAGTTACCTTGTTGCAGGGTACTGTCTGATTGACCAAGTCAACTAAGGGTCGGTAGTCTTGTTGCGTAATATTGCAAGGGTTCTTTGAAATAAATGCACTTTTGAACGCATCCAGTATCTTTGGGCAGTCTTCGCTTCTGTGAGATAAAACATAGAAAATAAAATTAAATAGAGATAGATTTTTAAAATAGTAAGCTGGGCATGGTGGTGCATGCCTGTAATCCCAGCACTCAGGAGGCTGAGGTAGGAGGATCACCTTGAACCTGGAGTTGAAAGTAATAAAATTTCACTTGCCAGGTGTGGTGGTGTATGGAGAGCACTGTAAAGGAACACGACATGAGGCAGCCATATTGACCTGTGATTCACCCGAGCAGTGTGGACCTGCCGTCGCTATAGCAATGGGCTAGTTCAGCTGGTGGTCTGATCTATTGCCTAGCAGATGTAACCCATAATGGTTGTTATTGTTTCCCTCTGGAATGTGTGGGCGGTACTCTCGCTCCCTGCAGCCCTCGCTCCCATGCAGCTGGAGAGTATAAAAGGAAGAGGTTCTGTAATAAAGCAAGCAAGGAACATGAGAAGAAAGGTGCCTCCCGTCTCTCTGTCCTCGTCCTTTCAGGTTTAGGATCTGCTGGCAGGATCCTGACGTCGCGGCCCGCGACAAGTGGCACCCGAACAGGGACCTGAAAGTAGATGAGGATACGTAATCCCGGGCCCAGGTCGAAGGCAGCGACGGTGCTCTGGAGGACTGACCGCTGCGCCTGATCCTCGCAGTAAGTCTACTGTTCACTTCATGAATCCCGGACCCAGGTCGAAGGCAGCGACAGTGCTCCGGAGGAAGGGAAAAGAAAAAAGGGAAAGAAGGGAAAAAGAAAAAAGTGATAGAAGGTAGAGAGTGTCAAGTCCATTTGGGAAGGAAGGAAAAAAAAAAGAAAAAAAGAAAAAATGGGACAATCAGAATCCAGAAATTATCTAGCAAATTCAATTCAGAGCCTATTGAAGGCACAAGGAGTAACAGTTGAGAGGGCACAATTAGAGGCCTTTAAGATTCTGGACACAATTTGTCCATGGCTATGTGATAAGGCAGAAATAAACGCTGAAGTATGGGAGACAGTCGGAAACCAGTTGAATGAAGCCCTTCTGGCCGAGCCCAATCATTTTCCAGAAGGTGCTCCTTTTTATTGGGCTTTGTTAAACGCAGCTCTCAGGACGCCAACCAAAAAGGAAATCTTGGAAGCCTTAGACGAGGTGCATGAAGGGTCTGTGAAAAGGACCAAAGACAATCCTCCAGTGTTACTTCGAGGGACATCATTACAGACTCTGTTAATCACTTAAAGATAGACTGTGAAGGCTCCTCCTAAGAGCTAATTCTTCCTGCTTTTCCATCTTATGTGCTTTTTCATACTTTGCCTGTCATAGTAAATGATTACTTTTTACATCCACAAATAGAAGGTGTCGCGAGCCGCGACGTCAGGATCCTGCCAGCAGGTCCTAAACCTGAAAGGACGAGGACAGGGAGACGGGAGGCACCTTTCTTCTCATGTTCCTTGCTTGCTTTATTACAGAACCTCTTCCTTTTATACTCTCCAGCTGCATGGGAGCGAGGGCTGCACGGGAGCGAGAGTACCGCCCACACATTCCAGAGGGAAACAATAACAACCATTATGGGTTACATCTGCTAGGCAATAGATCAGACCACCCGCTGAACTAGCCCATTGCTATAGC